AATTGTGTGGTACACATTTTTACAGAAAGAAGGTGTACCTACTACTGCTAAATTGAAACAAAAAACTAAGTATTATACTATTAATTACCTATGGTTATTTGTTATCTACATTTTAGGAAATGATTATTAAAAAAGTACTTTAAACCTACACTAGTTAGCATATGAAATGAGCAAATGAGTGTATTTTATGAAACGAAGGACCCCGTACTAATCTTATGAAAAATGGCTTTCGGTGTAATTGAAGAGTTCTGTATGTACATCATAATGCATAATGCCGTCTTGTACGGAGAAAGAGATACTTGGTAAATACCAACAATTAAATCCCGAAGATCGTTGAGAGTAATAAGACGAGGAAATTTAGATAAGTGGTTCGGATTTAACTGAACCCATCTACCGAGTCTGGCTCTTAGACTTTCTGCTTCTACTCTCTAATAATGTTCTCGTATAATGGGTGGTATGAATCAAAACGAAGTACTTGCTACTACTACAAGTATTAGTATATTCTACGCAGTATTTACTTTACAAAAAGAAGCATTTACTAATTTTCGCTGGTTTCGAAATGTATCTACTTCGTTTTAAAGTAAATACTACGGAGAATCTACTAATAGATACTTGTAGTAGTAGCAGATACTTCGTTTTTATTCATACCACCCAATCTATTTAGAATGGCTCCAGCATTTCTGTAGTGTACAGGTCGCCGAGATAAACAAGATGCGCCAATAAGATATTAGTCATACATTAAAAACTTGAAAGTTGATTTGAAATGTCCATTTTGTGCTTTAACTCTATCCACCTGGTTTTTGCTACTAAATGTGATTTTTTTGCTTCTTTAGTAGTATCTTAGTTCAATTTATCCCTGATTTAGAGGTATTGGCAATTGACATTTTCTAGATAAATGTCTACACCTTGAAGCAGTGGACCAGCATCTCGACATCCTCGGTCTTCTATGAAAATGTCACCCTCTTGAATACACTGCCTCATATCTTCTATGTTTCTTTCAAATTCGCGTTGTAACATTGTTACATCATTGTTATGTTAGTTCAATTTCAATTTCAATTTCAAATAAGCTTTATTGTCTCAATTTAAAAAAAAAATTATTGACAAAGCAGTTTCTAAACTAAAAAATATCAAAATTCAACAAAAATATCAAAAACATCGAAATGAACAATTGCACAAAAGATAAAATAAAAATAAAAATAAAAATAAAAATAAAAATAAAAATAAAAATAAAAATAAAAATAAAAATAAAAATAAAAATAAAAATAAAAATAAAAATAAAAATAAAAATAAAAATAAAAATAAAAATAAAAATAAAAATAAAAATAAAAATAAAAATAAAAATAACAGTAAGAATAAAAATAGAAATAAAAACAAAAACAAGAGAAGCCAACAATCAGAGGGAGCCGACACCACATTAAAGTATGTCGTTAAAGTATTCTTCAATGTCATAATAGGCCTTCCCCTCCAGCAATTTTACAATACCTCTACGAAATAATTTTGCATTCGATATCTCTTTCAAGTCAGTTGGTAGATGATTATATATTTTAAGGCTTTCCAAAATTAAAGAATTTTTGGTCAAACTAGATCTGGGAACTGGTAGAGGGAGCCTGCCCGACTGCCTTGTTGTACGGACTCCAGATACCACCCCTCCATACTTTTTATGAACCAAACAAACAGTTTCCAAAATAAACAAACAAGTTAACGTTGAAATTTTTGAAGAAAGAAACAGGGGACGGCAATGTTCAGGTTGTTTTTTATTATGAAGATAACGAATGGCACGCTTTTGAAGAACGAATGCTGAGTGAAAGGCGTAACCTGGGCAAAACCCCCAAAAGGCCACCCCATAACGTAAAACAGAGTCCACCAGGGATAAATACACCATTCTTGCCAGTGAATACCCCAACTCTGAAGTAGTCATTCTCACAGCAAAGCAGGCAGAAGCTAGTCGAGCTTTCAATCGCTCTATGTGCTCAATAAATTTTAAGTTCTTGTCGACAATTATTCCTAGAAATTTTACACTAGAAGAACAACCTATTGTTTGCGTCTCCAAATTTATGGGGTCAACAGACAATCCAAAGGAAAGAATGTTTGTTTTGGAGATATTAAAACACAGTTGGTTGCTGTCACACCACTGCTTCATGGAAACAATATCTGCAGTCATCGCCTCATGCAAAGTGGATCTAGGACAGCGCCACAGAGCAGTAGTATCATCCGCAAACCGCGTAAACATACAACTAAGAGGCAAGGAAACAAGATCCTCTACATAAATTGAAAACAGTAAAGGTCCCAAAACTGATCTTTGCGGGACTCCTCTAGGATTTAATAGAGGTTTAGAATATGTACTTCTACTACCCACGACCTGAAAACGATCAGACAGCATTGACAGGATAAGTTCACTCGAACGTCCCCGGAAGCTGTATAGCTCCAGTTTTTGCAGCAATATACCGTGACTCACACAATCGAAGGCTTTCGAAAAGTCACAGAATACTGCCGCCACAGAGTCCGACCTAGAATTGAGCCCCAGATAAACCTCCTCTAAAAGATTAAAAATTGCGTCCCCAGTGTTCATACTCTTTCTGAAACCAAATTGTGTATTAGTAATTATTTTATGCTTTTCCAGATGTTCAAGCATTCTGGATTTCATAAGTTTCTCCATGACTTTAGAAATTGACGATAACAAGGAGTCAGAGAAATACAGCCCTTGTTTGTGAACTCAATGTATGTGAAGTATATAGGTATTAGGGCTCGGAATTTTTAAAATTCAAGTATTCGAATAGTCGTTTGGTATTTTATTCGAATAGTCGAATAATTCGAATAGTCGAATATTCGAATACCTATTCGAATAGTCGAATATTCGAATAGTCTAATATTCCAATAGTCAAATATTCCGATAATCATTTAGATTAGTTAGTTTGTACTTCGTCGTACGGTTAGTAGTAGTCTATTTTTAATAAAAAATACCGGTAACCCGGTAACCGGAATAGTCGTTTAGGTAACTATTGAAAATCTGAACATTATTTTATTCAAATTTGTAATGTATAGGTTTTTTTTTAAGTGGGCTGGCAGGTACCTACTAGGTAGATAGTCCAATCTTCAAATAGTCGAATATTCGAATATTCAAATAGTCGAATATTCGAATAGTCGAATATTCGAATAATCGAATATTCGAATATTCGAATATTCGAATAGTCGAATATTCGAATAGTCGAATAATCGAATATTCGAATAATCGAATATACGAATAGTCGAATAATCGGATATTTGAATAGTCGAATAATCGAATATTCGAATAGTCGAATTTTCTAACTAACAAAAAATTCGAATTTAGAATAGTCGAATAGTCGACTATTCGAATTATTCGAATACAATTCCGAGCCCTAATAGGTATACCTATACCTGTTGGGAGCGACAATCAATTAGGGTTTCTTCAAATGACGGCCCTATGCCTGCAATAAGATAGGAAATTACTGCTTTTATTTATGTACAAATCCGTCGATAGGCCTCTGACAGTTTGTAAGTTGTCAGAAAACATTGCCCAATATATGTTTTCAATGCCGTCGTTTCAAAATAAATAGGAAACTTATCTGGGGTCAATTTTTGACAATTTACGTTAAATTGCGTATTCGAAGATTTGCGAACAAAAATAAACGTATACGTATCTATAAACCCATTTTTGACCGGTGTGCGTAAATGGATAAACGTAGATATTGCGAATTCGTAAACAAACGTGTTAGTGTGAAGTTACCCATAAAATCTCAGCCATAAAACAATCGAATCGCGGTTAGGCCTACTTTTTACTATACCGGCCGGATTCTCATATATTCTGGGGGCTGTTTGTGCCATATTAGAGATAGCTATGAATGTTAGCTACTACTACTAGCAATCAATAAAACTTAATTTTGTGTAATGCCCCACCGTCTGAGTGTCTCAAAAAAAATAAAAACCCTAAAAAAGTCGTGATTTTTGTCAATTTTCGCTTGTAGCTTCTACACGGTTGCTTGTGCCGCTTTGAAAATAGCTATACATTATAGCTACTATTCCTAGCAATCCATAAAAATTAATTTTGTGTAATGCCCCGCCGTGTGAGTGTCTTAAAAAAAAATAAAAACCCTAAAAAAGTCGTGATTTTTGTCAATTTTCGCTTGTAGCTTCTACACGGTTGCTTGTGCCGCTTCGAAAACAGCTACACATCGCACCTTCAATCATAAATTGGCATAACTCAAAAATGCTACTTCCGTAGAATCTGCTAAAAACTGTGTAAGAGTTTGTAGTCGTCTTGGAATTTTTGAATTTTGAGAAAATTTACGAAGTATTATGAATTATGAAATTTGTGAAAAGGTTAAGAATACTATAAATATGTATGCATAATTTATGTTTTTTTTTTTAAATACAGAAAAATGGTTTTATGGTTAGAAAAAATAAAAATTCACAGTTAGGTCACTTTAGTAATAAAAATAATGAATATGAATAAGAAATGTGTCAATTTATGACTAAAAGTTGCACAAAGATTTCAGAATTATTTTGAAATAGTTCTTTTTTGAATTATATTCCTTAAGGATTTCATGAAATAAAGCAAAAAATGTCACTTTAGAAGTAAATTTTCAAAAAATTATACTAAGCTATTTCGAACCAGAGGTATTAGTTTTTGTGATAACATCAAATGGGGTTATTAGGATCAATGATTAACTCAAAGTAAACATGAAAAACAAAATGCTAAGTCTTTATTTGCTTTTCACTTAAATTTATTTGTACCCTTAAACTTAACTTTGGCATAAATAGTAGGTAACTTACGTAAACATGAAAAAACATAAACTAATTCCTCATAATGTGTTTTTTACTAGTATTGTACTATTGAACTCAACTTTGGCATTCTGAATTATCAAATACCTAAATAACTAAATAAAACTAAATTTCTGAATTATCAAATTAAGTAGGTAACTAAATAAAACTAAGAAATATACTGAAATGTAAGATGAGACTAAGTCCTTATGCTAGCATACTGGAATAAAAATCTGCGTAATAATTGGGAATCAAATTTTTAGAAATAAGTTCTCTCAGATCCTTTTTCTTATTTTCGCTCAATTCGAGTTTATTCTGGTATGCTTTTTCAAGAGTAATTTCCTCCAAAGAAAGCATCTTCCTTCTTTTATTTCTCAGATTAACTTCAAAAAAATTCTCCTGCTTGTAGGATGTTTTATAAAAGAAACTAAAAGGTTTTTCTTTTCTAAACATCATCACCTTAATGTTATTCCACAACACAGTATTTCCTGAGGTATCAAAATTGTAATTATATTCCCATTCTTCTTGGAGTTTTTTCAAATTAAGGAATGACTCAAAAGTAAGCTCATGTACCTTGAAAGGAAGATTTGTTTTTTTAGCATTTTTAATCATTGTTACGTACTGGTGAGGGGAATATATAGGGCCAGATCTTAAATTGTTTTTATCTCCTTTTTAATGAGGCTATGCACATTATCTCCTTCATTCTGTGTATGCCCTTTAATAAGGAACATATGAGTGATAACTTTTATATTATTGAAATGACTCACTGCTCACTGCATATAAATATAGTGTAGCAATGACTTTATTTTTATTTTGCCCGCAGCAGTTATCAGAGTAAAAAGTTATTTCAATTTCTTCGTTTGTAGGGTTGTTAGAAGACACTTCAAAATTGAAGATCCAATTTCAATAGAGCCACGTTTAGCATCAGTCTCGTTCCAGTAAAAGCAATGAACGTCGCGATATCCCCGTTTTTTCTCATTATTTGGATCGAGTTTGTTCAAATCCACTAATGTAAAATTAAGTGCATTCAACTTTGATTTATAATAAAAAGCTGATGTATCTCCTCTGGGGCACTGGAGCACAGCTTGTAGATCGTAAATAAGCACTTTTTTGTTGTCCGTTATATTAAGTCGATCAAAATATTTTTCTTTCCTGCACAACTCTTTTTCTTTCCAGATGCTTTTTATATTCTTCCTCTATTTTATCTCTTGCATTGCCCATGGTATTACTATATGAAAGACATGGATCACATTGATCTTTTTTGGGCTGATAAAACCCTATATTGAACTGGGTGGTGAAAACTTTATAATAAGTGCTATATTTTCCAAACTCTTTGTTTTCTCCTGTTTGAGTTTCTTTGAAATCTCTGAAAAGATCTGTAACTGTTTTTCCGCCATCTATATACTCACGTGTTGTGTTGGCACGAAGATAATGGGATTCTATGCGTGGAATAGAGTTAATGTGGTTTTTTATATCTGCGAGCAGTTCTGGATCAATTTCAGTATGACTTGTATGAGTGCCTCGAAGATCATCGCTCACGAATCCATTTAGATCAATTTTTGCTATTGTGGTTCGAATCATACGATCGGTTATATCCAGGGCTGCGTTCAGATTGAACGTCGGGTGTCGCCCGAGCGCGTTCCGACCGTTCAGATTACTTTGGGTAAAATTTACCCAGCCGTTCAGATTGTCAGTAGATTTTTACCGGACGACGCCCGGGCGCACACTTTTGCATCCCATAAAATAGCAAGATAAAATTTGCCCCGCATGCGCGTTTGTGTTCTAACCTTAAATAATAAAGGCAAATATTGTAAATAATTATTTTTGCGAGTTATGGTGGGTTTATCTAAATTCTTCGTTATCCTCATCAACTCTATTTAAAAAAAAGGTGGCCTCTTTCTTTTTTTTTTGTTTAGTTTGTGATGCTAAATTGATAGCAATCACTGACACTAGCACATCCTCGTCGTCCGAAGATGAAGCGTCCTCATCATTCAATAACTCTTTAAATATGAAGATACTCTGGCTTCTTTCATAGTTAGTATTTATTTAAAAAATTATGAAGAAAACGGCAAAAATGTTAGAATCATGGAGGTTATAAAGAAAGAATGCGTCTTGGCCGTTCAGATTGGGCGAATCGCCGGGCACACTCGGAGTGCGCTCTCTATCGGGTGCGCTCTTCACTGGACGTCGTCCGGACTCTTCAATCTGAACGCGCCCCACAGTGTATTTTTGAAAAATACTTTACATACTCTTACTCGATCATTATCAGTTGTGAAGTAAAATGCTTTATTTTCTTTTCTTGGTCTCACAGCATTCGTGTATTTGTACCTGGGTGAGACATTTCGCAAACAAGATTGTACAAACAAACGTTGTTTGTTTATATCCGATAAATTCCAGAATTTTTGAAATATAGAAGCTCTTTCATTCTCATTTATGTTGTCCCTGCATTTGAGTCTGCATTTTTCAGGGCAAGGCGACTTGACACTCCTAGCTGCAAAGATTTTCTTGGATTTTGACATCGAGACATAGGATTGACCGGTATTTCTTAACCGTTTTGTTAGGTTTTGTTTCCATTTTTCAGGATTTCGCGTTCGTTTTTTAGTATTTTTAGATGTCGATGGGGTATTTTCTCCTGATGACGTCGATGAAGACGAACTGGAAGTATCGCTAGAAGACGAACTGGAAGTATCATTAGAAGTCGAAGAGCTGTTACTTCTATTGAAAATTTGTATTTTTTTCATTTTGTCGTCTTGCTCCCCTTTGTAGGTCGGATCAGTGTCACTTAAATCTACGTCACTTTCATTAGAGTACACCGGAGAAATTTGGTAGTTCTTTTTTCTCTTTCTCGTGATGTATAGCTTGGTAGGATTTACGTATTCGCTAATTTCATATTCGAATTGTTTGGAGTTAATGGAGTTTGAAGTATTATTGCATTCGTTTTCCTTGTTGTCCATGAGAGCAAACTGCTAAGAAATGAGTAAAATAAAAAATAAAGCTTGTTCTAACATCATCTATACCTCTTCACATCCACTCCTTTCTGTGGTATGAACTATTTTGGGAAATTCCTGTACAGCAGAATCTGTGGTATCTATGTTCTCTCCAGAAAGGTGATATACAGGTTGCTGAAATAAAAATACTATAACTTCAACAGTTTAGCAGAAAAACATAAAAGCATTTAATAAGAAAAGTCTAAATACTAACAGACTCTAATGTAGTTTCATTATTCTCCATGACTTCGACATAATCGCTCTTATCTTTTTTTTCTGCAATTATTGCATGAGAACTTTCTACTTGACTGACTCCAGCCGAGGTTGTGTCTTTTAAAATTAAAGAAGTATCATCTTGTAGACAGAAAGGGGAAATGCTGAAAGCTATCTACAAAAAAATTTAATACATAGGTAATTAAAACAAACAAAAAATATTCATACAAACCCAATATTGTTTATCAACTTACATCTTTTGATTCGTTTGAATGGGAGGATGGTATATTTTCTGTAACAATTTGATTGGCAATGTCAAGAAGTGGATCTTGAAGTACCATTTTCAGTATTTTTTTCCCTCTCGATTCCATTATTTTACTAGAGAATGGCAAAAAACCTAATATTAATAACCTTTTTTTACTTATCGACTATGCAATTGTTTGAATTTTTGCTCATAAAACGGACCATTTTAAATTGCAACGAATATTTTATAATACAAACTAATCATAACAAGCACTAACTTAGAAATAAACAAGGCAAAAAAACAATAATGGTTTTAATTTAATAATAAAAAGACACATTTCAAAATAAATTATTCAATGCATATACAGATGTAATAATAAACTGACATAACTTTTAAAAAATCTGCTAATTATGATGAATTTTAAGATATAAACAAACGCAACTACAAATATTTCTGTTTTGGACTAAAATAAAAGAAAAGTTTTACCTTATTATTTAGCGATAAACTGACATAATCGTGATTATGCGATCAACGACGACAAGTACCCGGTCACAGTTAACACACAACTGAAATTATGTCGCTTTACGTCTAAACCACATTACGGAATCCGATAGAACTAAACTGACACAAAAGACATCTGCTCACTGGGTGGCTATTTCGAGTTAGGTCGGAGTTACCTTAATAGATGGCATTATTTTAGGTCGTTTTAATACCAAAACTCTGAATCTCAAAATTTTGAGTTGTGCCACTTTATGAATAAAGGTGCGACATGTGCTACCTCTCCTAGAAATCAAGAAAAATTAGTTTTGTGTAATGCCCCGCCGTCTGAGGGTCTCATTAAAATTAAAAATCCTAAAAAAGTAGTGATTTTTGTTAATTTTCGATTGTAGTCTCTACACTCAGACGACGGGGCATCACACAAATAGTTATTTTTGTCACAAGTAAAGTCTGTTTTTTTTTTAAAGATAATTCCCCAAGTCAAAAATTTAGTGAGTATGTTGGCAACACAAGCCTTTTCTACATAAAAAATTTGAAGCATTGACAAATTTACATTGAATTGCCAACATAATGTCAGTTTGACTTTTATCTTTAAAAAAAAACAGATTTTACCTAAAATGAAGTTTTTCGGGACGAATCATCGCTGTTTCGGAATAGCAGATGAGTCCTGAAAAACTTCGTTAGGTACGTGTGACAAACACTATTTTTTGTCATACGCTTTTCAGAATTCTTCGGAACGCAAAAATTTGTAAAATTTCCTTAATTTTTGAAATCATAAAGGTGCATCCAGAAAGAAAAAAAAATCCTAAAAAAGAAGCATTTTACGGACTTGAATGAGTCCGTAAAATAGCTGTTTTTGGGAGCGTATGACAAAAAATAAATTTTTATTGATTGCTAAGAGTAGTAGCTATAATGTATAGCTATTTTCAAAGCGGCACAAGCAACCGTGTAGAAGCTACAAGCGAAAATTTACAAAAATCACGACTTTTTTAGGGTTTTTATTTTTTTTGAGACACTCAGACGGCGGCGGGGCATTACACAAAATTAATTTTTATGGATCGCTAGTAGTAGTAGCTTACATTCATAGCTATCTCTAATATGGCACAAACAGCCCCCAGAATATATGAGAATCCGGCCGGTATATTAAAAAGTAGGCCTAACCGCGATTCGATAGTTTTATGGCTGAGATTTTATGGATAACTTCACACTAACAACAAACGTATGGTTGATTTGACAACGTCGGAAATTTTAGAATGTTTGACAAATTTTTGACGTGTTTTTGCCTTTTTGAATTAATTTTAAAGAATAGACCGATCTCCTATTACCTGGACTGCGCGCGTCGCTTGTAGGCTGCAGGTGAGCGTCTAATGAGAAGCAAGTTTGTGACAGGCTTGCGTCATATTCTTATTCAGGGGCCATTTCAGAATTAATCGTCCCTTCTTTCTTTGTAACGTGTAATTCGACAAAGAGCAAACTAATACTTTACATATTACTTGAACTCACCGCAGTGTCGTTTAAGGTAATGTTAGATTATACTTGACATATTCCTTTGCAATTTCATTGAGCGATGTTGCCGGATGAAACATTTATCAAAATAAAAGTGCAAACGATGTTCATCCACTTTAAAGCTCTTCTTTCGTCTGATTTAAGGCGTTGTACAACATTTGACACTATATCACTTCTTTAATGTTATAATATTCGATTTGTATTGTCTACATTTGTTCTGAAACAATACAATCTGACTACACTGCAGCCTACGAGTTGCGCGCGCATGTCATCTTTCATTGCTTTCTAACTTGTATTTATTATAATTAAGCTCTCTTTTTCTAATCCTGCGAGATAGGTCTCTATTGTGGATGTTTACGATAGTGGTAAATTATGGAAGAAAGCAGTGACAAAAACTAAAAGAAAAGGGGTGCGAATGCCAGTAAAAAGCAAAAGAAACCTGTGAAGTATGTGAAAAGCAAGCTACAGCTAATCCGGTTGATAGCTACGGCTTGCGAAAAATTTCAACGCATAATCAAGACCCATGAATAGTACCGCATTAAACTAACTGTATAACAAACATTACAAAACAACCTTCTAAATAACATTCATTTTCTACTTTAGAAAATACATCTAAATCTGTTGGTCGTTGTGCCAGACGTGTATGAGGTTCTAAACATTCAACCAAATATCTAACAAGTTCTTTCGACAAACATAACATATCAATAGGGTGTTTATTTGTAATTCGTACTGCTTTTTCTGCTTCAAGCAGATCTTAACAGCAGATCGGCGTTCATTTGTCTCATATAAGCTCATAAATAGCAGCTCCTAGCAGATCTTCCTGATTTTTCGAGCAGGTCGAACAAGTACAAATGAACACCCTTTAATAAACTGTCTTTGAGCCGGTTTCTCAATAGCAAGTCACCCCCGGGTTAAGCATTACTCCATGGTGAACATTGCAACTGGAAAACAGGACCTTTGGTTTAGCTCTAGGAATGGATCACAGTGGTTATGTCGATTTTGTATCTCTGCGTTTTCCAAATTACGAATTGCCAGCACATTCATCAAGTTTTCCGTATTATAGTAGATACACCTTGTAATCAAGAAGATGAAACGATAGTGACTGCACTGCTGTTTCGCCAATACGCAGAGCCAGATTAGGCCAATCGTACCCATCCCTAGAAGAGATCAGAGGCACCGCTTTCGGCGTCCGGCGATGTCATCGCCTACGTAGAATCGCTAGGCTGGATGACCACTGACCAGCTAATGATGACCTCTCTTCTTGTGGAGGCGCACAATGGGCATAATTGTGGCTTAAGTGTTGTAGCATACCGTATATACCACCCTCCCAGATACAGAGATAATAGATACACAATAATCCAATAATAAAATCACTATCAAAAAACTGACAAACAAAAACAACCTAACATGACACAAGAAAAACGAATACGCAAACCGAATAAGGCGACTAGAATACCGCTCGCAGAAAAGCGAATGAAAATATGCGCATACGAAACTTTGCGAACGGCCAAAAATTAGAACTTGTGGCTGTTCGCAGATTTAGGAACAATCTACATACGTTTCTATGTTTGCGAAGGGTCAAAAATTGACCACCTGGGCGATTACTTTTGACAGTTTGCAAACTGTTCACGAATGTCATTTCTACATTTTTATAAAGTGAGAAAAAATTGAAGTACTCTTGCATTTGATATCTTTTAACTTACCATAACTCGAAAATGGCTCGTTGGATTTTTTTGTGCCAATGATAAATTTTTTTCCTACGACCACATACGAAAGTGTCAAAATCCGCACTAGTTGGTTCTTTGGAAAGCGCTAAATATCACACGCGTGCCGAAAGTACTTTCGATACGCGTGCTGAAAGTACTTTCAGCACACGTATGGAAAATATTGTTGATATAGTTTGTGGTTCACGTCACAATTTACTTTCAATACGTGGGTGGAAAGTACTTTCAGCACATGTGTTGAAAATTAAAAGAAATAAAATAAGAGAAAATTGGTGTAAATCGGTTTCTGGTCGTAGGAAAAATTGTGTACATCACTTGTGAGAAAGCGTCTTTCATACACTCGTGTGATTTTGTGTGAAAACACACTCGTGTGAAATTTGTCACTTTCTTCACTCGTAATGTAATATACTATTTTTAGAATATCCAGGAGCACAACATATCCAAATTTCAGACAATTTCATCGAAAGCCATTTTCCATAAGATTAGTGCGGAATCTTCTGTTACCCTTGTTATTTGATTAATTTAAATTGCAAGAATTTTACAGTATAATTAACTAATTTAAATAATACAATTACAAAAAACATTTGAAGTAATTATGCAGTAATGAATAATTCATTAAAGGAATTAAAAAGTTTTTCAACTACCATCAATTTCAAGTAATTATTGGTTTTTAAGATAAACATAATTTATTTTACATTCTCTAATGGAACATTACTATGAAAATAATTTTTGCTATTATAGCACTCTTATCTTACTTTTCTTGGAAAAAAATTTAAAGTAATAAATTATTTCACAAAATATGTACACTGGTATAAAATTGAAATAACTAATAATGAGACAATTCCAAAAAAAATATGTTTTATGGTTATCGATATACTTTAATTCATAATTTTTTAAAGCAAATTTGTCTCGCCATTTTTGAGTTATATCGCAAAAACTAAAAAAAAAGTAGTTTTTCACCATTTATTTCAAAACGAATAGATGAAGTTTCCCATTATTTTTCTTACGAATTACTATTGCAATTCTACGCGACATAATTTTTTTTTTTATATTTTTTGAACTTGTAGTTTTCTCACTACTACAAAAATATGTAGTTGGAAATACGCCCGTAGCTACACTGTTTAGAAAAAAATCCGACGAATGAACGTTCAAAATTATTTGCGTTGGTCGAAACTACAACCCTGTTTATGTAAAACAGAATAATACTTCGAATTTCCGCCAAAAAAAGAAAAAACGTTACATCACACAATTTAACCAAATGAAGATTTCTATTTTTTTTTTTGACAGTCAAGTTAGGGCACACTATAGGGGCGACAGCATTGACATCTCGCGTTGCCGTAATAAACTATAGGCCTGACTTTAAACCTTA